GCTCAACAAACATTTAAAAAATTTAACTGATTTAGAACATTCTGCAGGCCCCAAAACTTTCTTTGAGCCTCAGTTTTCTCACCTACAGAAAATCAAAGTGCTCCAAGATGTCACTAGAGAAATATTGCACAGCATCAGCTTTGGATAAATTAATACTACATTGAGGTAGTGGTGTGGTAGTGAAGGGCAGAGCTTCAGAAGTTCTCAGATCATAAGCGCCTTCAACTCCTAGATTCTATCTTTCAAAATGCAGCCATTATGTTAGCAGATAACATTTATCAAGTAGTGCGTTGTAGGCACTGGTGTGAAAATACTTTTCATGTAGTACCCAGTAAAATGTTCACAACCTTCAGAGGCAAATTGTACCATTGCCATTTCATAAATAAGAAAATTAAAGTTCAGAGACATGCTATAACTTCTCCAAGGTCACACAGTTATTCAGTGACAGAGCCAGAGCTCAGCCTCTAGCTCCCAAACTCCAAATCCAAATCTCTTTATTTCCCCTGGGCTACTGAGAGCATCATGATGCAGGAAGGGATGGGACCCTTGGGCTGACTCTCTACCAAAGGATAGTGTTTGATCGCCCATGAATGTCTGCCTTTCAAGTCCCACTTTTGTCCCTCTAGGTTCTGAAACTGCTGCTCGTGGCCTGGGATCGCCGCCTCATTTTTGCCATTGGCACCTCCAGCACCACGGGCGAGTCAGATACCGTCATCTGGAATGAGGTCCACCACAAGACAGAGTTTGGCTCTAATCTCACTGGCCACGGCTACCCAGATGCCAATTACCTGGATAATGTGCTGGCTGAACTGGCTGCCCAGGGCATCTCTGAGGACAGCACTGCCCAGGAGAAGGACTGAGGCGAGAGAAAAGCTTTGAGGTGGGATGGGCCGTGGGGACTGCAGGACAGGAAGTGGGGAGAGTGAGTCAATGTAGAAGTTGGTGTCGTGCCCTCCCAACTTTCTCACCTCCCCTCCTGTCCTGTGTCCATCCCTCGTCCCTCCCAACCACAGGGGGAGCCAGACTGAATAAAGCGACATCATTCATAAACCTCATCCACACAAAGGGAGATGGGATGAGGGCCATCCTGGGTCTGTTCCCATGGAGTTTTTGGTGCTGGGTAGGCAAGAATCCCCTCCCTATCCCACCTCCAAAGTAGGGGCATGGTCAGCACACCCAGGACCATGGACACAAATGCCCATGGAAACAAATGCCCATGGACAGTGCCTGGGCATTTGGAAGCTGGGGTTTCTTGCCTCAGCCAGCTTCTTACTACTTTCACTCTGCTTTGAGAGTGGAGTTTCTGCTATTCTCTCCTCCGCTGGAGGCAGGGAGCTCTCACTGTGCAAGGTTGGGGGACAAAGGGGTGAACCGCTAAACTGCTGTGACATCAGAAACTGATGCCTTGGTGTAGAGTGAGGAAGCACATCTTCCCAAGAGGGTCAGAGAAGGAAAAGCCTCGGGGAGCACATTCTGCTCTCATCACAGCCCTTGGTTTCTCCGGGCCCTCCTCTCCTCCACACAGCTCTGACCTGTCCAAAGAGGCATCTGGTTCTCTCATGTGGATGAATGGACTCTGGAATTCCTCCTTGGGGGTGGCATCCCGTGATGCTCTTTCTATCCCCTCTCTGATCAAACCAGAGCCTGAATCCCACTGAGTATCTGAACTGTCCTCAGGGAGAGGAGCCCACAGCCTTCTTCCCAACTCATTCTAGACCAGCTCAAAGATTCCATGAGTTTCATCAAGTCACTGTGAGTGGAGCCCATGCTGGGCTCTGTGCCCTCTGTGTCTGTGCATGCGTGTGTGTGTGAGTGTGTGTGCATCGCTGGGCCAGCTTGATGGGAAGGCCCGTCGTGTCCCTGCACTCTGTTTTGCAAGATGCCAAACCCCAGTTCTGATGGGGATCCAATAGTGAGACTGTGGTTTTTTGATGTTCCTCACCTGTTGCTAACCTATCCCATAGTGAACTGAAACCCCAATGGAGACAGAACTGTGCCTGGGGAGATGCAATGAGGTGAGGGCTGGACTCATCCTTTTATATTTCTTTTCAAGATTGGATCAGAGGTCATCTCCATCCAGTTTTGTTTCTATGAAGGCTTCAATCTGTTTCCATGCAAATTTGCTAATCAGAGCCCAGAGCTGCTGGGCTTCTGATCTCCCTCATCTATTATAGATTGACTTAGAGCGGGGCGGGGGAGCCTCTTAAGTTCATTTCTAATGGGGTTGAGACCACAATATGGTCTGGTCCAATCTGCATCTTGGTTGTGTCCCAAGACCCTATCTCCTCCCCAACATTCCTGTTGCCTTTGGCTCTCATTAAGGAATGAATTGGGGCCAGTGAGGAGAAAAGGGGGAATCAAGAAGGGAAACCCAATTCCTCCTTTGAAAGTGGGTTCTTTGAACTATGTGTTTGGGGGAAGTTCCTCTGGATACTAATTTGAATTTATATACCTCAAGTTTTGGGGGTTTGACGTATATATGTGCATATATATTTCATAATATTTGGAAGGTTTTTGATGCTGGAAAAATGGAAACAAAAGAACCTTCAAAAATGGTACTTAGATGGGAACCAGAGGCCAAGCTTTCATAAAAGCCAGCAAGCCCCATAGCTGCTTGCTGTTAGGCCTCCAGCCATTTTGATGTTGGTGTGGACAGTGGATTCACCTGCCTGTCACCCAGGTCTGTGGATGTGCTGGTGCTGAGCCTTTGCTCCCTTTCCAAATGGCTACAGGGACGTTGATCAGCTCCACCAGAGGGAGCTCTGATGGGAGGAATCATTCTGCCATCCTTGTCCCTGTATCTCCTGTCAGCAGGCAGCCATTGTATCTCACCAGCCAACCAGGAGACTGGTCCCCAGGTTACTGCACCACAGGGCAATTTCCTGCCACAATTAGGAAGGAAACACCTGAACTAAATGGAAGAGATATCCCTGCAGTGTTTAATGTCACACCCGTGCCCTTTGTCAGGTTATCACATACCAGAGATTACCTGGAGAGCCTCATGCCGTCTCTGCCTTCAGCACGCTGGTCAAGTATCTGCTGAGCTTCTTGGCCACAAGGGTGCAGAAATAGGCTGAGGGTCCATGGGAAGAAAGACACAATGAGGCAGTAGGAGGTGAGGAAGAAGAGAAGATAGATTTTCACAATGGAAGAAGGCAGTGGGGAGAGACCGGTTTCCCCATATCAGGCAGAAGAAGGTATAGGTGGGGAAGGGGGTGGCCAGAAGCAGAAGGAAGAGGACTCAACATGGAAAGGGAGCCACTATGCCCGTGGCAATACCACTTGGAGAGGTAGTCTTCATACCTTCAAGCCTTTCCCCCTAGGATTTGATTGTGTCTATGCCCCATTTCTTGTCCTCTCTGCAGATGCCCAGTAGGGGCTACCTCATCCTCGTGCTGTTCTTATGTGACTTTCTAGGCTACAAGGTCTTGAATTTCCTTTCTAACACTGTGCCAGGCAAGGCAAGGTACTTTGCCCTTTCTCTTGTGCCAAAATGGAAAGGTATGGTCTGGATTTCAGTGAAAACCCTGCCAGCCAAGCCCTGTGCATCCGTTACCTTGACACAGGGCATTTTCCCACCAGAAGCCCTGCTGTGCTCTCCTGGCCAAGGTAGGGGATTCCATGCCTTCCCTTTCATGGTCTTAAGCACCAGCAACCGAGTTTCTCCCTTCCTAAGTCTCCAGGGATGACAAATGGGATTGCAGACAAACCTTGTCAGATGCTGATCACCTAAAAGGTTCATCGTGTATATGTGGCTGTGTGTGCCTTTTGTGTTTTCATTCTCTTCCCCTTTTTGTAAAATTTGGTCTTCTCTGTGGTTTTACACTTGGTCGAAAGTCCTCATCTTGGTATTGCACTGTTGTGTGCATGAGAAAATTGGGGGAAGGCTTGTGTGGTACAAGAAAGGACCCCTGACCCCTTTCCTTGTCTGTGGTCCCCAGCATTAGATTGGGTTTCTGGGAGAGGCAGGTGAATGTCCTAAGTGAATTGTTCTGTTTGTAACTGGAGTGTTTTGAAGTCCTTGGTGTTGCTCTGTGAGAGGACATCGCCACCTGGTGCTCATGAGGTGTCTGTGCAGAACAATAAATGGCAAATGAACAACCACAAAATTGTTGCTGTTGTTGACCTTCTGCTTTTTGTAGATAAGTGCACCTACCTGTGAGGGATTTGGGTTACCTCCCTGAGTCTGTAGGCAATCACAAGCCCTTCCACTGGGTGGGGGAGGTCCCCCCCAACCGCCTAAAAAATCATTTTCCACATATTACCCGCCCACACATTTGATCTAGCTAGACTCTTTGTTCACCTGAAGGAATAATAGACCACATGGCTGGGAAAATGAGTAAGTGAACATGTGGGAGTTAAACCACCTTTAAAATCACAAATATTCACTTTTAAAGGTCCCTTTCCCTGACTACAATATAGTGTGTGTTTAAATCATTTCCAAGCTGTTTCTCAAGTAAATGTTTAATATTAATCATTCAAAACTGACAAGAACACAAAATAAAATGCAAATGAAGAGCCACCTTTGTCACCCAAATCTGTGTCTATTTCTGGTAGTACGTGGAATGTGGTTTTCTTGGAAGCCAGGCTTGGTCTCCCCACTGACCCCAGCCTAAGACGACCAGTTAGGAACCCAGGACTTGGAAGGTAGTTTGTCAGCTTGTCCATCAGGGATGTGACTCTGCCAAACGGCTTGATGAATGCAAACGGCAAACTCCTATGGTCTGACTTCAGATGCATGAGCCGTTGGGCAGAGAGTTCCTTAGTACATATTTTAATGCATATTTATGTGGAATCTTGTTAGTAGGAATATACATTTATAAAGAACTTTTCATTTCAATAGGCAGTTAATGTGCATTAAAAGCCTGGAATGGGTGCTATATTTTGCCTTTCTGACTCAATAATCTTCAAAGAATTCACAGGAAAATCAGTATTTGCAGATAAGTGATTACCTTGGCTAAAATGTACAAAACACCCAGAACCCACAAAACACTCAGAAATTTAAGAGAATGTTTTAATGCTTAAAGGGTAGGGTTAAGTGAAGGGGTTACAGAAATCAGTGTCTCTGGCTGGGCAGTCAGGAGAGCAGGGCTCAAATTCTGTGACTCACTTCTCTGTGTCTCAGTTGGAAATGAATGGATAACCTGGTTCCCACCTTCCCACATGCTGTGATGCTTCAAGCTCTGGGGAAGGGCCTCTTCTCAGCCCAAGATCTAGATTGTGAACATTAACAAAGAGAACAGTCGTTCTCCACAGAAGATAACTCATTAATGACGTATGATTCAGTGAATAAACAGTATCATTAAACAAATATTGTAGGGGGGTCATAAAAGTAGTGGAGGTAATTACAATCAGGAGGGATTGGTATTAAAACTGAACACAGTCCCAACTATTGCCAGCTGAAGGTCATACATCCTGCTAGATGCTCCAGGGCGCTCAGTCTGGAACTGAAACAAACTTGAGGTGACCCCAAGGAGATAACACAAAGTGGTGCTAGATGCCTTTTTCAGTTCATTTGAAAAACATGGATTTGATCATGTCAGCTCCCTTTCTGCTGGAAAAGAAATGAGGGTGCATAATTGGTGTTATCTACTCTGTTGTGAGTCTACAGAGTAAGTAAAATTTAGTTGCGGGCTTACTTTAACTTCTTGCCTTTTTTACCCTCAAATCTTTTTCAGTTTTTACCTATCTTTCCTTATTCCTTGTCTCCAAATCATCCCTTCCTCTTTAACCCACTAATAGAAGTTTATAAATTAAAATATTTTCTGAGGACTTGATGACACTAGTCAGAAGTCCAAGAGTGGTCTGGTCTAAGGGAGTCTTCATCATGGGCCAGCTGGAAAAAGTGGAATTGGCACAGGCAACATCATTCTTTTCACGTTTTTGAGGTGACCCCAAGGAGATAACACTGTCAACATGGAGCCCTCAAAGTTAAAAAGCAGTAGTCAAGCAAGACTTATGTCTTTTCAGGGCTCTTCCAGGCTCTAAGACTGTGAAATTCAGACAGCTGTTTAAAAATCAAAATAGAGCCGGGTGCAGTGGCTCACACCTGTAATCTCAGCACTTTGGGAGGCCGAGGTGGGCGGATCATGAGGTCAAGAGATCGAGACTATCCTGGCCAACATGATGAAACCCCGTCTCTACTAAAAATACAAAAATTAGCTGGCGCGCACCTGTAGTCCCAGCTACTCGGGAGGCTGAGTCAGGAGAACTGCTTGAACCCGGGAGGCGGAGGTTGCAGTGAGCCAAGATAGTGCCACTGCACTCTAGCCTGGCACCTGGCAACAGAACGAGACTATCTCAAACATATATATATCAAAATAGAAGGAGGGTAGTTCTTACAGGCAGAAATTCTTAGAGCTCACAAATTGGAAGCAGTGGCAAACTTCAGAGTAAATTCAGAGCTTCCAAATCCAAACATTAACATTCTCCTCTATTTTTACACAAATGCATTCAGGTGAAGACAGCAACACACATTGCGAAAGGACACCTGCTTCATATTTTAGTCCCAGAATGGCTTTTGCTTCTAGTCCCAGCTGTTCCCTCTCCCCAACCCCACTCTTACCCCTGTAACAATATGAACTTCCTGACCCAGAGACCTAAACAAGAAGTCACAAAGTTACACCTACTTTTGGTTGCACTTGCCATTTCAATACTTAGGAAAACAGAGTGATCAGAAATGACCACACTGGTAGGAGATGAGAGAAGCCATTTTCGGGGAGAGATTTAAGCTGGACTCTGCACCTGCACTTGGTCCGGGATGTCTCCAGTTGCTGCAGTGCCTGGAACCAAACTCTGCCTCTCTTCGATTTCCTGGTATGCTTTCTTCTTGAACTTCCGGGTGCCGTAGATGGCCAGGGTGATGACAACAGCCAGAATGGTGGTGACCCCCACTGTGACCCCAGCTGCAGCCCCTCCTGACAGACCACCACCATCCCCATGAATGACGTTCATGGCCCTCCGCAGCTCTATCGGCTCTCCCAGCCTCCACTGGTGGGTCTGGGAGTCTTTAATCCAGGATCTTGCATTCTCAGAATTGGTCACTATGACAGTATTGGTGGCAGCCTGACTCATGAGGGGTGGCCGAGTGAAAGGTGGGAGCCTGACAGGCGGCAGGGACCTTCCTGTAAAGAGCCCAGACTTGACGCAGTAGGACACTTGGCATCCGTCGCTGATGAGGGCTAGGTGCTGGCTGAAGCCCCCAGGGCACTTTTTCAGAGACGGTGCCCCTAAGTCTTTGGATATAGCAGGATCCACCAAGGGGTTCCCAATTGTGCAGCTGAAGAACCCACCAAAGGGAACCGCAAACCTGCTTCCCAACTCATAGTCCTGAGAGGCACATACCTTGAGGTTTTCAAAGAGTCTCAGTGGAAAGTAGCCAGCTGGGCATGACTGTGCATTTGTCATGGGGTTTATGTTCTTGCTGCTGAAGAGGCCCCCAAAAAGCATTCCTAGGTGTTCAGGTACTTGGCTACTGGCTGCACACCAAAAAGCCCTAAATTCAGCCTTTGCCACCTTGAACACATCTTCACACACTGTCTTGCAGAAGACGAGGAATGTGCACTTCTTATGACACTCCAGGTGGTTGTAACCCTCTTCATGGATCTGGGATAGCAGGTGCACTGGGGAGTAGCCAGAGGGGCAGGAGAAAGCACCAGTGAGTGGATTCTTCTGCTCCAACTTTTGGCAGAGGAGGACATTCCCATTCCCTGAGAGCTGAGTGCATTCCTGATAAACCCCACCAAAAGAGAAATTGGTCATTTTTCCTTCGCAGGAGCCATCATCTGTGTTGGCCTGAAAATTGAAGTTGGGAGAATTGAGATCTGTGCAGCCAGGGTAGGTGTTGAACGCGTAATAGCGCTTAATAGCAGTTTCCACCGTCTGTGACACCTTCTTCACCAGGGGGCCTGGCAAGTCAGGCAGCATGTTGGGGTTGATGAAGAAATGCAGAGGCAGGCCAGTGCGGTCGATGGCCACCAGGTGGTTGGCGATGCCCTGCTGCCAAGCCTGGAGGGTGATGCCTGGGTAAAAAGGAACCCCTCCGATGCTCTGCACCCTGGAGTTGGTTCTGTTTGAGAGGTAGCTCTTGGTGAGGATATTCTGTGAGGTATAGTTCTCCTCAAATTTGAAGTTCACAATGTTTTGGAAGGCAGCTCCAGCAGATGCAGTCAGGGCGCTACGACTGCTCTGGCTGTCTTGGAGAAAGGAGGCCCTGATGTGGTCCTCCTGAATAAGAGCAGCCCCAGCATCCACGCTGGTGATGACATGGGTGCCATAGTTGAGGACAAGGAGTTCTGCCAGGTAGGTGGCCATCCTTGTCTGGTTGTTCTCTAGACGGTCAGAGATGTCCAGGAGCTCCCTCCTAAAACCTGAGCTTAGCTCTAAAGCTGGGTTGATTTTGACTGTGTAGATCAGGTTTCTCACCTGAACTCGGGTAGTAACAGCCTTGTCCTTCACTTGAAGGGTCTTCATTCTTTGGAACTCAGTGGAGAATTTGCCATTGACTTTGGAAAAAAGAGAGAGTTCTGTGTTGATGGAGTAGGATGTGCTGCTCTGGTAATTTATCCATGATTCCAGGATTTCTGAGTTCATCTCCAGGTTGCTCTGTTTCTGGGGAATGGTGAAGATTTCATCCGGGATAATATACTGTCTATCCTCAGTTGTCCTGCAGTTGGTGTAAGTCAAGTCCATCACCCGTCCCATGTCCACATTCCGCAGATTGTCCCAGCCCCCTCCAGGTAGGACTTCCAGGACAGGTAGTTTCAAGGCATTCTTGCATTTTTGAAATCCAACTTCATCTGTCTCTCCTGGAGGCTTGCCTGATTTAGCCCATCCTGCCACTGCCCAGAAGAGGATGGCAGCCCTGAAGCTGTTCATGGCTCAGACAGCTCCAGCCGCACACCAGCCCTACACAACCGCCAACAAGCTTCAGGCAAACTAAATGGGGAAAAAAAAGTAGGCAATGAAGCAGAAAATTCAGCAGTTCTCTGAAAGCTACAAGTTCCTCTTTAAGCTAATTTAATTGCAAAATGGGGAAACGAGAGTTGCTTGGAATATTTAAAGACCGTCAGGACTTTGAAGAATTTATGCCATATTAAACATCCAAACACAGTCCTACAGGCCTAACAGTTAACCATTCTAATTTTCCCCCGGCCCAGGCTGGTTACTCTGCTGCAGGGGTGGGCACTTAGAAAAACAAAACAAAACAAAACAAAAAAAAACGTGACCCCACAGCCTACTGCTTCCTCCGCTAGAAAGTTTGGCTTTGCATTTTGCTCACTCTCTTGGACTTGATGTTGCACATTTTCCCTGACTGCTCTCTCTTCGGCCTCCAATACCAGTTTCCTTTTACTGAAAACACAGAGGCAAATGACCACATCGCCCTTACTGAAACACCCTGTCTCCACCACAGCCATGCAAGCTGTAAGTCAAGGCCAGTTGTGGGTTTCCTATTTGCTTGAGGGTGGAAGCTGTTTCCAGAAAGAAAGGAGTGAAACTCTTGGACATTCGTCCCATGGGGTTCATTGTTATGAGCCGTAACAGTTCTGTCTTTGGGGATGGCATTGTCTGGAGCAGAGCTGATGGGGCCTGGAGAGGATTTGATGCAATATATACTGGGAAACCCTAATTTGCATTATCCTAAACATTCAGAGTGAGGGCAAGGAATCCCTACACTGTGTTGTTTATATTCAGATAGAAATATTCAAGAGAAAACCACACTATAATCTAGATTTTGATTTATCAATGGCAGACAGGGGCCAAGGAACATATGTGTATGTGTTCACACATTTATATATCCTCTGTATGTGTGCATTTTGCATGAAGTTGGTTCCTGTCATACCTTTTTCATTCCATTGCTAGAGTGTAATTGGTTTAGGCGCATAATAAAGAATGCAGGTCTTCATTACCCAATATTTTTTTAAAGCAACAATTCATCTGCTATTTCACTAGAAGAATATAATTACATGAATTTCTTTTCAGGTGCCAATGCCAGCTCTATTAGACCCCATAATTTAAAACAATGTTTCCTGGCCCATTGATCTGGTGCCAAGATTGATTGAATCCCAGCTCTGTTAATTCTTTGGGACAATTGGGCTGTGTCTTAGTATGCTTAGTGGTAGCCAGAGAATCCAGAGGAGTTAATGAAGCTCCCAACTGCATCCTTAACACCCCCCAAATCATACCATGAACCAGATACAGTGCTGAGATGGAAAAAGTCACACTGCAATTCACAAGTATCACTACACCATAACCTGTATGCATTCTGGAAAGAAAGTTCCAAGGAATTGAATTCCTCTATTGGTCATTGATGCAACTAAGATGTATTTTTAGAAAGAAAGAGGCTACTTTGGGAGGCCGAGGCGGGTGGATCACGAGGTTAAGAGATCGAGACCATCCTGGTCAACATGGTGAAACCCTGTCTCTACTAAAAATATAAAAATTAGCTGGGCATGGTGGCACGCGCCTGTAGTCCCAGCTACTCTGGAGGCTGAGGCAGGAGAATTGCCTGAACCCAGGAGGCGGAGGTTGCGGTGAGCCGAGATCGCGCCGTTGCACTCCAGTCTGGGTAACAAGAGCGAAACTCCATCTCAAAAAAAAAAAAAGAAAAGAAAAAAGAAAGAAAGAGGCTAGTTGCCTAGCTTCCCAGACTGGGCTGTACCAGTTATCAAAACGATGATGGTGTTCTGTAAATCTAGAAATACTGTATTCTGAGTCTATTTCTTTTTCCAAAACAGGGCCTCGCTTATTGCCAAGGCTGGAGTGCAGTAGCTATTTGTACCTGTGGTCCCACTACTGAGCAGCATGGGAGTTTTGACCTGCTCCATTTCCAACCTGGGTCCTTTTATTCCTCCTTAGGCAATCTGGTGGTCTGCTCCAAGGAAGTCACCATAGTGATGCTGAACTTAGTGTGGACACCAGATTGGCATAGCTCACTATAGCCCAGAACTCCTGCACTCAAGCAATCCTCCCATTTCAGCCTCCCAAGAATATGGGACTGCAGGCATGCACCGCCACACCTGGACATTCTGGGTCTCTTTGTGCCACATTTATCATGCTTCTGGGAACTGACAGCAGCCACCCAAGAGGAATTAATTTATAAACTAATATACAGTCTATATTTTGCTAGAGAACCAAACCTTTGCACAGGATGTTCTAATTTATAAATTAGTTATAAATTTATACCTCAGCAGCATGATCCCAGAATTAGAAAAATGAGAGTTGAATGCCCTTGAGTACTTCCAGTAAGTCTGTTGAAATATCTACATACTTCTCTTCAAACTATTTCTGAGATGGTTCATCAAAATTAGAATACTCTCTCACACTGCTTTGGAGACAAGCTGACAATATGTTACCCTCTGCTTTCTCTTTAGTAGATGCTGTTGAGAGCTCACTCTCCTGAAATGAGAATACAAGCAAAGTTAATACAGACAATTCTATATTCAGGTTTTCCTATGTCTCCAGATGCCCATTCACTGTATTTTTTATTTCTTATACAGCCTTTGTCTTCTTTTTATCATAGAAAAATGGAAAATAGCTGAAAGAGCAATTACATTGTATCCATAAGAAAAAATACTTTACAGCCGTCACAATTACTTCAAACAATTTTAATATCATGAGAAATTCTTATGCCATAATGTTACTGGAAAGAGTTCCCAATCCACACCCCAAAAGAGAGTTCTTGAACCTTATGAAAGAAGGAATTCAGGGTAAGTCCATCAAGTAAAGTGAAAGCAAGTTTATTAGAGAAGTAAAGAAACAAAAGAATGGCTACGCCATAGGCAGAGCAGAGGCATGTGCTGCTTGACTAAGGATACTTAGTGTTATTTCTTGATCATATGGTAAACCAGGGGTGGATTATTGATGAGTTTCCTGGGAAGGAGGTGGGCAATTCTCAGAAATGAGGATTCCTCCCCTCTTAAAACTATACATGGTAACTTCTGGACATGGGCAGTCAAGGCACTGGTGGAAATATCTTTTAGCATGCTAATGAACTATAATTAGCGTATAATGAACAATGAAGATGACCAGAGGTCACTCTTGTCACCATCCTGGTTTTAGTGGGTTTTGGTTGCCTTCTTTACTTCATGCTGTTTTATCAGCAAGATCTTTATGACCTGTGTCTTATGCGGACCTCCTATGTCATCCTGTGACTTAGAATACCCAACCTACTGGGAATGCAGCCCAGCAAGTCTCAGCCTTCTTTTACCCAGCCCCTATTCAAGATAGAGTTGCTCTGGTTCAAATGCCTCTGACAAGAATGTTATGAAAAAAAAAAATGCAAAACATTCAGCATGACCCCAACTATGTGCATAACTAGAGGGATGTATGCCAATACATAGACAGTAATTACAAATGGTTGGGACGTTTTTCTAAATTATTTTAATTTTTTCCTCTTCTCTGTGTTTTTTGAGTTTTCAACAATGAGCATGTATTTATTAACTTGAGAAATTTGTATTCAGAACCTACTAAGTGCCAACAGTGATGAGTATTGGGTAATCACTACTTTTGTGCTCAGGAAAATAACCAATGCACACCGATTTAAAAAACAAAAGAAACAGGGCAGGCATGGTGGCTCATGCCTGTAATCCCAGCACTTTGGGAGTCCAAGGTGGATGGATCACTTGAGGCCAGGAGTTCAAGATTAGCCTGGCCAATGTGGAGAAATCACATCTCTACTAAAAATACAAAAAATTAGCCAGTGTGGTGGCACACACCTGTAATCCCAGCTACTTGGGAGGCTGAGGCAGGGGAATTGCTTGAACCTAAGAGGCAGAGGTTGCAGTGAGCCGAGATCATGCCACTGCACTCCAGCCTGGGGAACAGAGTAAGACTGTCAAAAAAGAACAAAAAAAATTATTTCTAAAATTTTTATATGCCTGAAATGACCCAAAGCCTATGGATTCTGTGTCTTCTGTGCTCAAGGAAATTCTCTTTCCAATTCACTGGGAGATAGTGGAAGGAGAAGTAAAAATGATGAGAAATTTGGCTTAACTAAATTTTGCATACCAGGAGCAGAACTATTCATAACAGTTACACATGAGGAAGTGGTGACCAGTGGGTTTTACCCACACCTTTTCTTGTTTATCCTGTTCAGCAGCAATTTCCACTGCTTTTTCTTGTATTAGAATGCATATGCAGTCACATAACCTCCCCAGGTGGCCACACTTGAGGAGTAATGGCCTATGGGCTAACACTGAACTTTCATCTCTAAAAGAAAGAGGCATCTTGTCCACAAAAATTTTGCATCTGCATTGCTGAAGGGCAATTTCACTTCCTCCAAAAAGAGGCAAGAAGGAAGTCCCACATCTGCTTTCTTTCTCAGTTTGATCCCGTGCAACCTTCTGACACCATTTCATTCAGAGCCAAACCATGATTCATGTCTGAGGTTCAGTCCTGTGTGGGCTTGGAACTAGCCCAGGTGTTTCCTACTTCTACATTTCACCTGTGGTCTGAATTGGGGAGGAAAGTCCAGTTACATTTGCTAAGACAATTCCCTTTCAACCGGAATCTGGGGCACCAGTGTAAAAACTGATAGTCAAATAATCACTAAGTGGATCAGAGAACTATGGATTTATAGACTTTGGAGTAAACTTTGTTAAGGAAAATCTGGAAGGAATCAATGAACAAAGTGGCAGTATTTTCCTTTCTGAACAGTTGATATCTAACCTGACATTTTAGGAGTTGCTTGCCAGCTTCTTCCCCTCAGAGGCTGTTCTTTCCACCAGGATTGTTTGGGTACTGACCACAAAACTAAGAAGGTGGTGATTCCATGACTCCTTTTAATATGGAGAAAACAGAAGGCCCATGTGAAATTCTGCATATTTCCATTAAAAGCTAGGCCAGAATGTGATGGCCTAAGCCATTTCATGTCTGTTCTCTATCACTCTTTCTTCCTCTCTCTCCTACTTTCGTTGATCCATTTTCTCATCAGTTATTCCCTTTCTGCTTTTTATTTTTTCGCTTTGCCATTTGTAAACTTATGGAGG